CACATGGAAGGATGAGGTTAGGCTTCTCTAATTTCTACAGTGACATCCTATCTCCTTCACTTGACCATCTTCTGCTGTGGTTGATAAGAAGTGTGTATGTGTATGGGGGGGTGAGCAGAGTGCACAAACTACGTGTATTATTCAGATTATTCTCTTCTGGAGAAAGATGAACCAAAAATAAATTTCACATTGATCAAAGAATAGACCAGCTGATGGGAATGGCTAAACTACTTCAAAGTTTGGCCAAGTCCATACTGGAGAACAAAGTAGAAGTTTCCACATCTCATTACCATCTCTACTATGCAGGTTTTGAAATTGAATTCTTGTGCATTAAGGAGATAGTAGCTCAGTTTAATTGCCCACCATGGGAATTGCTGATAGAACAATAGAATGGCATGTCTTGTCAAATACACATGCAGGGATAATTTTTACATATACAGGGTGAAGTTGGCTAGAAAGCCAGAAGGCCAGGAAAATAAATGTCTCTAAAATTTGTACTTGAAAAATCATGTGGTTTGGATATGACCCACTAGTTTCCTCTCCTATCATACATTTTTATCACAGATTCCAACTTAGCTCATCATAATCCTCCATCTTTCTGGCTAGAATTTTTTTAAAAATATATTTTTATTTTTTCTTTTTAGTTATAAATGATAGTAGAATGTATTTTGACATATCACACACACTTGGAGTATAATTTCCCCTTCTTGTGGTTGTACATGATGTGGAGTTATATTGATCATGTATTCATATATGAACATAGGAAAGTTATGTGTGATTCATTCTACTGTCCTTCCCATTCCCATCCCCCCCATTCACCCCTGTCCAATCTGGTGAACCTCCACTTTCCAACCCACATTGTGTGTTAGTATCCACTTATTGGAGAAAACATTCGGCCTTTGGTTTATTGGAATTAGCTTATTTCATTTAGCATGATAGTCTGCAGTTCCATCTATTTACTGGCAAATTCCATAATTTCATTCTTTTTTATGGATCAGTAATATTCCATTGTGTGTATGTATCACAGTTTCTTTATCCACTCATCTATTCAAGGGAACCTAGGTTGGTTCCATAGCTTAGCTATTGTGAATTGAGCTGCTATGAACATCGATGTGGTCACATCACTATAGTATACTGATTTTAAGTCCTTTGGGCATATGTCGAGGAGTAGGATAACTGGGTCAAATGGGGGTTCCATTCCAACTGTTCTGAGTAATCTCCATACTGCTTTCCAGAGTGGTTGCACCAATTCAAAGTCCCACAAAAATTGTATGAGTATACCTCCCCAATGCCCCATCCTCATCTGGCTAGCATTTTAATACTTATTTTGCTTAGGCTTTAATTCTTTCCTTCTGTATACAAAACCCCAAAGTTTCAGATTTATGAATACCGAGTTTTGCACTCCAACCCACACAAACAAACATGTTCTGACTCCATTAAATTAAAAATTGAAAATTTAAACAATATTCTGTATTTCTGTCTTTTTCTTCTTCTTTTTTTTTTTTTTTTTTCATTACTGGAGATTGAACCTAGGGGAGCTCTACTGCTGAGCTACTCTTATTTTTTATTGTGTCTTACTAGGTTGCTGAGACTGGCCTCGAATTTGTGATCCTCCTGTCTCAGCTTCCTGAGTTGCTGGGATTACTGCACTATTGTGCCTGGTATATTTTATATTTCTAAAGAGGTTAAAATAGACATTGGTCAGTTAAGAATGATGTTTGACCTCTCTGCAGTGTTAAGTCCATGGCAATGGCCTTCATTCCTGCCCTCCTTTCTAAACATATTGAATTAATTTTTGTTGGAGGCCTCCACTGTATCCAAAACATAGTCTATTATTGTACTTATCACTTCTACTGCACTCTAAGTTCCTTAAAACTAGGAACCTGTCTTACCTATCTTGCTATCTTCAGTATTTAGTGGCACTCAATAAATGCTGAGTATGGCTAAGAAGAGCATCTAAAGGAAGCATAAGACCAGACAACTAGGCTGATCCGGTACAGATCTAAGAATTCTGAATGGAGAATTCTGAGTGGGTACAGGTGGAGGTGAGTTGAGCTGAGTGCACATTAACTGGGATGAGTAACTAGTGGTGGGAGTCAAAGTTATGGAAAACAGGGGGATTCAATTCCATAACAGAAAAAAAAAAGAACCGAGCCCTTGGAGTCTAAAGATGTGGGTCAAAACACTGGACTGAATAAATAAGATATAGATATCTTAATTCCTGTGAATCACAATATTTTCTACCAAGGAAGAGTCCTCTATGTGTCTTAAGTACCTCATAGGAAAATTGTCAAGATTAAATGAAATCTTATGCCTTGTAATAATTTTTGTAACTTTGGCAGTGTGGTATATAAATTGAGTTATCTTGTTTTATCCAAACCAGAACCCTTTGAGAGCAAGAGGAAGTACTATCAATAAATAACTTCAGAACAGTACTCACAAACCAGAACTCTTCTGGGTTAACTTGGTTATATGCTCACTTATCTATATCATTTATATCTATATTCTAAATCCATTTATATCTACAACTATATCTGTGTATCTATACACATCTATATCAATATCTATGTCAGTGTCTATATTCTATATCTATATGTATGTCTACATCTATATCTATATCCATATTTATATCTGTAGTTCTATCTATTCCCATTTCCTTCTACATTTACTGTTTACTGATGCTGTTATTATCATCATCCCAGAGTTTCTCATTTTGTTTCCCTTCATTTCTCTTTCCAACCATCTCTACCTCTCTTAACCATTTCTCATCAGGATACCCTTTCCTGAGACTCTTTCCTTTCCTTGTAGTTTCTCTCTTCCCACCTGTCTTCCTCCTTTCCCCCTACTCTATCTCTTAACTGTTAATAATAAGAACGGAGAAACTTGTATTTTTTTATCTATCATGTGTCTTAAACAATATTCTCTGTTCCTTAGAACAACAACAACAAACAACTCTACTTCAAGTAGAGGAAGAGGAACATGGGGAGGGAGGAAGGAAGGGAGAGAGGAGGCCCTGGGGACTGAAATGGAGCAAATTAAATTCCATGCATATATAACTATAATGCACTAATAAAAGCATTAAAAATCTCTAGTTCATATTTCTCTAAGCATACCAACAAGTTGTCCTTTCTTAATGAGGAATCTAGTGAAGTTGGACAAGCAGTGGATTGTGATTGTGCACACGTGTCACTCTGGGAATTAGCCAGAGTCTCAGTTTTATCATCTGGAAAATGGGGATAACCATTCTTGCATTGCAGACAAATAAATGAGCTTGCATGAAGAGAAGTGCTTCAGAGCAGCAATCATAACTCTTCATTGGAATCACCTGGGTGAAGTTCTGAGACTTTCACAGGCTCTACCTCACACTAAAGGATCAAGCTGTTTTACTGCTCCTAGGTATATTCCAATATTTAGCCAAGGTTGAAAACCACTAGTCTGTAAATTATACAACATTATACAAATGTAAAACAACATGTATGTTTATATCCTTACTTTAAAAAAAACCCTATGGATCAGTAACTCCTTAAAAGAAAACAGGTTACCTAGACCTACTCTAAATAATTGGGGATGAAAAGGGACAGATAAAATTTTAACATATTTCAACTATTCTGGGCCATGTTCAGAAAGACTCATGATGATGGGATAATCTTATTATTTAGCTATTAGACTGTAACTTTGAACACATGAAGCCTGAGTCTTCCCATAGCCTTTTCAGCTACTCAGAAATAGTTGTACCTTCATCAAAATAATTGTCTAATGTAGGTATCATCTACATCCCAAGACAATATTAAAACATCTAATTTCTTTCAAAAATAACATGTAAAAGAGTAAAAAATTAAATGCAAAGGTTCTGATTACTAACCATAGATTTAGTTTTCATTTGACCCATAAATTCTACTCCTAGTTATATACTGAAAACAATTGAAAGCAGGGTCCTAACTGTTGTGTGTGGAGTGTTGTTGTTGTTGTTGTTGAGGATGGAGCCCAGAGTCTTGCACATGCTAAGCACATACTGTACCACTGAGCTATGCTCTCAGACTGCCAAACAAATATTTGTGCATTAATGGCATTATATCACTACTTCCAACAGCCAACAAGTAGAAACAACCTAAATGTCTTTCAGTATATAAATGAGTAAACAAAAATGTGACCTATCTCTATAATGGGATATGATTCAGCCTTAAAAAGGAGTGATTCTGACACATGCTACAACATTGGTAAGATGTGAAAACATTATTCAAAATGAAATAAAACAAACACAAAAAGACAGATATTGTATGATTTCACTTATATGAGTAACCAAGAATAAGTAAACTCAAATATAGAAATCAGAATAGAAGATACCAGAAATAGGAAGAGGGAGAAATGGATAGTTATTGTTTAGTGGATACCAAATTTCTGTTTGGGATGATGAGTTCTGGAAATGGACAGTGCGAATTAATTGCACAACATTGTGGGTGTACTTATTACCACTAAATTATAAATCTTCAGTGGCTACAATTATAAATCACATTATATATATTCATATGTATATATTCACTTAACAGTTTTTAAAATGCTACAAAAAATCCCAAATCTAAGCCAATATTAGGGTGAGAAATTTACAAAAGTACATGTAATGCACATAGTCCTTTTGCTGTTTTTTCTAGTTCCAGATATTACAGTAGCATTCTTCTCTTGACCATTTCTAGAAAACATTCAAAATGACACTATTTCATGTCAAAATTAAGTTATTACTTTTAGACAATGAATATACTGACTTAATGTTTAATAATGGACACTGTTTCCCTGAGCCAGAATTACTACACTACATAATGAATTGTTCCTCTAAGACACAGTCTTCCCAAGAGCAAAGCAACCCAATGCCACAAGATACAGAATGTATAGAAGATCAAATGCCTCAGTCCCTACTTGAAGTATATTCATTCTCCTGTGCAAATCAAAACAAGAGAAGTCCATTAGCCAAGGATTTCATTCATCATGCCAACTTTTACACCTACTTGATGAAGTAGTCTCGCCCATCTCGGTTTGTCATCATCTCCCATCCATAGGGTGGCACCTGGTTCAAGCCCCAGGTTCCTGAGGGAGGTGGCCAGCCTGAAGACTTCGTCCTGTGGCTGCAAAAGAAAAAAAGGATTATCACAACTGACTCATAAATATATCTTTTGAGACAAATTGCAGAAGAATACCTGATTTACTCCTCTAAATTGAGGGATATTTCCTCAATTGATTAATTGGATAATTATAAAGAATATTTTTATGTCATGTACCATGCTAGGCATTTTCTATGTGGTATTTCAGTTTCCACAGGGGCTCTGTGAAGCATAAGCACATTTATACATTTTAGAGATAAGGAAACAATAAATGGGCCAGAAAGTTTAAGCGTTTGAAGACATACAAGCCAATTTTGAACAAAAGTTCTTCAACTTCCATCACATTAAGCATCCCTGAAACCAAACATGAGGAATATTTGGTCCCATAATTAGATTTGACAATATTATATAAATACACATGAAAATAAATTTTGGGCTCTTAAACAACAAAACAAACCAAACAAAAACAATCTCCAAGCCTCAGTTTCTTGGATTCCTATGACCAAAATACAGACTCATGCTAACCACACTCCAGGCTAAATGAGTTATTCATAAACATTAGACAAACTCACAATTTTAAATTACAACCAAAATCCACACATCATTCTTCACAAATTCCCCAGTGCACAACCTTAATTTGACTCATCAGTAAAATGAAAGTGTCATTAAAGAGAATTTCCTTTAAATCTGTTTTTTACCAAGAGTAAGAGAAGGGGAGAAGTAACTCCTTATGACAAGCAGTTATGATGGGTAGCACTGCAGAGCCACAGTCCATAACTAGAATCCTAAAGCCAGTTTCTGGAACATCATTGAATCATAGCCTGGCTTCTTCAACCCAGGACCTGAGAAATTCTTGTCTTCCAATAATTGTCCAACACTACTTCAGAGCTTCACCATTCTTTTGGAAGGAAGTAATCAATTCCATTTTAGGATTGATCAACATCCCTCATCACTTTGTCCTTTAGGCTGTGGAGAAGTTATTCACTGTATAGCCTCTAACATCCTCTCATGGTTCCAAATCCCAGAATGATATAACTAAAGCAGGCAGAGAGAAGGCAGTGATGACATTTTCCTGGACTCACAATCAGTGTCTCAATAGCTGCTCAAGAGCACTTTACAATGAGAAAGAAGAACCCCTCTGATTAGATAAAAGTAGAGCAAGTGCCACTGGCCTGAGGATGGACTGCAGTTGTCACCTGCCTCCTTGGTTCGGCCCTCTTGCACGAGGTACAACTTGCAAAATGTAATGTATTTTCTTTCATGCAGCCTGTGGCAACTACCTAAACCAGGATTCTTAACCCTTTTGTGACGAGGGAGACATTAAGTCAATAGAATACTGGGCAACTCCTTCCCTCAACCCACTTGGCCCTCTCATATACCCATCTGGCCATAACCCCAAATTTCTTCAGAAACATAAGTCTGTTTCCTGTAAGTTTTCTGCAGAGGAAGTATTTTGCATAATTTCAACCAACTCCACTGCTTTTGTTTTAACTTCATTTCAGTTTTGCTACATCCTTCATAAAGTGTTCACCAATTTGATACAGGTCTGTAAATTTAGAATGCCACCATAGGCTTATTTCTTGTCTGTTGATATTAAAAGAAAAACATGGCTACTGCTTTTGGTTCTTTTACTTGCGTAAAAGTCAGCAGTGGCAATTTCCTAGGGTGTTTTTTTTTAATGTGCTGCTTTCCTGCAGTGAGAGAACACATGAGTTTGTCACCCTGAGGTACTACACACACACACACACACACACACACACACACACCCCACACCACTTTCTCCACAACTGCAGAGATCATAATTAGAATGCTTTCTAAGATGGTGCCAAGGAAACAAGTTCTTAGAGGCATGAATACAGTCTGTTCTGTTATTAAAAACTTTTTCCAAAAGCAAGAGTACCATTAGAAGTGGCACAAAGACTGTTGTTAGGAGTGAAAGGAGGAGGCCTGTGCAGAGAATACAATAGTTTATTCTGGATTCTTAAATTATGTATTGTATTAGAAAGGTAATCTTCCTCATAGAGGGCTAACTTATTAAAAACAATAAACTGTCTTTCTTTTCCTTCAACCATTTTTTCCTCCCTGAAATCTTAATTACTGAAGGAAACACAAGGCTTCCTAATATAACTTCCATATAAAATATAGCATTATAATAAAGAACTGTAGGAAACCCATTTTACTATACATGACATTCTGTCCTGTACAGTATGTTCAGGAAGGGGCAAGCAACAGTTCAGCAAGATGTTTTCAAGTAAAGCTTTCTTTTTTAAAAAAATCACCAAATGAAATGCTAATGCTGGAAAACCACATAAATACTAATTGAGCTTAGTCTAGGCCAAGAGGCATCAGGTGATAAAAAACAAATGATTTGAATATTAAGATCAATAAAAGAACATATATCTGCCTGTCAATGTGTCAAAATGAAATGTATAGGTCTGAAAATGCTTAGTAGAATTTAGCAAATTAAAAGTGCAAGTACAACAAAAATAACATCCTTTAAAAGTATCTATCCATAATGTCTTAAGAAAATTCAAGGATATAGGCCATAATTGTGAAGGGATCTGGCTCCTGATTCTATGAAGTATGATTACTGGAAGTCTAGCCATCAACAATATCCAGCCTTGGAAATCCAGTGGTTTCCTCCCTGCTTACTAGGGAGATGCTTCAGGGACTTCCTTTTCCTGCTCTCACCTCTGGTGTTGCCCCAAACTCTTTAATATTCTCAAATGTCCCCATCCCATCACTGCGGAACAACATTTTCTACCCAGAATATTAATCTATTATGTCCCATCATCCTATATAGAATTAATGGGTTAAGAGTGGTCCCTTGCAGAGCAGCAGTGAGGCCAACACATGTAAAAGCAAAGCTCTTGGTTGCTTTGCTTTAGCACCCCTTCAGATATGGAAATGATACTCAATTCCTTAGGATAGCCCAGGAACTGTTATGATGACACTATTCTAAAAGCTCTTCATTTTTGGCAATAATGCCAAACCTACATGCCAGTGTGAGATACTTGCCTTTTTATTTCCTGTCCATTTCTTAGGGAGCCCATTCTGAATTCTTGAGCTGAGCCATTGTAAAAGTTTCCCTCTTTGAATGAGGTCTTACTTTTCTTGTCTAAGAACCTGCCAGCCTCAAGATTCCTCGTGAACACCTCTGTGGAGCCCGGACACTCTCATAAGTAATACCCTGGCTGTTCTTTTCAGCTGTGTTACTGAGGACGGTATGCAGGTTGGCCCCACTGAGAACATTTGCAAGGTGGTCTTCCAGCCTAGGGCTGCTAAATGTAAAACAATAAATACAGGACACTCAGTCTCCAATTTGAGTTCTCCATAAGCAACATTTTTAAAGCATGTCACATATACTATTTGGGCAAAACTGATGCCCACTGGAGTTTTAGAACCACTGGATTAGAACCAGCTTCCCTTTAACTGAGGCTCTGCCATCTATTTTCCATGATATTAAGCACTTTATTTAACCTCTCTAACCTCCTCAGAACCAGATACTCCTCTGTCAAATGGTGATAATAGGACTCATATCATTGGAAGAATATTAAGCGAGTTTTGAAAGAATTTTGTACGATTCCCAGACATATACGCTTGAAAGTCTTTGATAAATAAATATCTACCTACAAATTAAAAAAAAATATAATACTGGGGGGTGTTGTGCAAATATAGTTGACTGTAATCCATCCTCAGAATAGAAAGAAGGTGAAAGGCTCATTCATCTATGCTTTTCCAGTCTGGCAAGGTCTAGAAGGGGCTGAACCAAGCAGTCACACCTTCTCATAAGGCTAGAAGTTGATGAGTTCAGCCCGTCTCAAGGCAGAAGGAATATCAGGAAGTTTTTTTTTTTTTTTTTTTTTTTTTTAAACAAAAAACCAGGAATCCCAAGTCTGTGATCCAGAGTACAGAGGGTCATTTTCCACATTTCTCGGGCAAGGCTTTGAGAGTCCTTGCAATTGTGATGTTCTGCAACTTCTATCTGAGATCATGGCTGTGTGAACCACTTTTGAACACTTAGCTCAGCCTTAAAAATAGCGACCTACATTGTCAGAGCTATTTAAATCACTCCAGAAACTCATAACAACTGACTGAACTGGTTTGCAACTTTGTGCTTCACTCATCTATTGTTTGCAACAGGCTAAAACCATCCTGGACAAGATAGATCTTCCTACTTTATATGAAATGAGAGCAGCTATGAACCTACAGGCACAGTTGCAGAAGTATTTGTGTTGAGATCATTGCTGGAAGTGCTCCATGATTTCCTCCTCTATGCCTACCCCTAAGTCCTGCACCAAATCTTAAAGGCAAATCTGCCATAGGAGAAAACAGGCTTTTGGAAATGCCTGCAGGCCTCTACAGTGATCTGACTTTCCTTAGAAGTAACTCAGTATCTGAAAAAGTGATGCTGCCAAAATAGACCTGCAGACCAATGGTACAGAATAGAAGACACAGATATAAACCCACATAAATACAGTTATCTCATACTAGACAAAGGCGCCAAAAACATGCATTGGAGAAAAGATAGCCTCTTCAACAAATGGTACTGGGAGAACTAGAATTCCATATGCAGCAAAATGAAAATAAACCCCTATCTCTCACCATGCACAAAACTAAACTCAAAGTGGATCAAGGACCTAGGAATTATTCCAGAGACCCTGCACCTAATAGAGGAAAAAGTAGGCCCAATCATCATCACGTTGGATTAGGCCCCGACTTCCTTAATAAGTTTCCTAAAGTGCAAGAAATAAAATCAAGAATTAATAAATGGGATGAACTCAAACTAAAAGGCTTCTACACAGCAAAAGAAACAATCAATGAGGTGAAGAGAAAGCCTACATTTTGGGAGCAAATTTTTGCCTTACATACATTAGACAGAGCACTGATCTCAAATATATATAAAGAACACAAAAAACTCAACACCCAGAAAACAAACAACCCAATCAATAAATGGGCAAAGGAGCTGAATAGACACTTGTCAGAAGAAGATACACATTCTATAAACAAATATATGAAAAAAT